TGGTTTGTAATTTTCTGTTGTGGATTACTATCTCATTATTATTTAGATATTGGTCCATCCTTAAGCAAAGAAGATTGATGCTATGAACAAAGTGCATGCAGAGGAACCGGTGGACAGGAGCTCCTAGTGAGGAAAAGAAATAGAACAAAGTGAAAAAAATAGCAAGAGTTGATAAATACGTTGAAGAATAGAGACAAAATGGGATGGACCTCAATCTTGTTATGGCGTGTATATAAGTTAAAGAGAGTAAGAATTTTCAAGTGGATGAGCTTTTGGAGGTGAAAACATATCCAGAAAAAAAAGACACTATTTGTTTCTATCTTTTTCATGTTTTCATTCTTGAAAACTGAAGAGTTACTTATTTGCCATGCCCATATGCTTATAGATAATGTAAAAAATACAATGTCCTTTGTCATCATACAAAGAAATTCTGTGTCATAATGTAAAAAATACAATGTCCTTTGTCATCAGTTGGAGAGAAAGTGAATGCCTAAAGTTAAACTAAATAATATCAACAAAACCATAGTGGGTTTTGCTATGTAAAAAATGTGGATTTAGACTTTTGAGCATGAGGTGCATGGTGGTGATTGGAAAAATAGGACCTGGAACAAAAAGGGAACTCCATTTCATATTTTGGACAAAATTTGCTGGAAGCCAGAACTGGATTGGTAGCTGCAAGTACGAACAAAGTCAATGATTCTTAGGTTAGGGTTGTTATTAAATGATCTATAGAGTAATTAAGGCATGGAGCTTGGACTTGGAGTGGTAATATGCCAAAATCTTAATAGTAAGCAACAAAAAGGGTTACTTATATGTAGTGGAAAAGGTGGAAGACATTAAGAATTCAAATTATGTTTTTGGACATGAGCTCTACAGAGTGCAGTTTGTGAAAGATTTGCTTGATCATAACTCTTGAAAATATTTGATAGTTGTAAAAACCTCAGTGACCTGATTTTTGCTCATTTCATTTTGATCATATTATGTCCTGTACCTAAGAAAAATATTTGTATTTTGAATTGGGATCAGTTTGAACACATAATTCTGATTATTGGTTCTGCTAATTGTTTGCTATTTTTTGCTAACAGTTCTTGATTATTGGTTCTAGCTACTGGTTCTGCTAATTGTTTCTCTTGGCATTTTGTTGGTTATGGTACTGGTTCTGCTAACAGTATATGGATTGAGTGAGATTGGCATGTGGGTAGATAGTCTTATAGCTAGTAATATTGCCTGTGACATTGTTTCAAGGCTTATAATGATTTTTCTAAATCACAGCCAAAGTTGCCTCATCAGGACAAATAATTCGTAGCAGACATCCAAATGGATTACATGTATAATATTATTCCATGATTGTCTGTTCTGTGCATTTGGTGTCATAGAACCTTTGAAAAGGAAAGATGATGCAATGCTTAAAATCCACTAGAACTTAATCAAACATAAAAAACAAAAAAACGCAAGTAAGATCCTACAAGAGCTAAACTTATTCTAATATATACATCTTTCCTCTTCTGCAGGAATGAATTATATATAACAAAAGTGGTTCAACTCTTTTCTACAAAACTCACTCCATTTGTTGTAGTAAATGACATACATTTAGAACTTCCAAATAAGAACAAATATTATATTCCTTTTATTAAAAAGTTGGTTGAAGAAATTTACAAAATGTATTAGTTACGATTTTTTTTTAAAAAAAGATTGAAGATTTTTACTTTTATAAAAAATATTTTATTTTTTGGACATACTGATTCATAGAATTTTATAAAAATTAATATTATATGACATATTTAAAAGAATTATATAAATTTTTTATTAAAGGGTATTTTTGTCAAAAAAAAAAATTTTATCCTATATAGTATTATACAGTATATTACCAAACACTGGATAGTATTATTTTATAAAATACATTATCTTATACAATGTTATGCCAAACGTTGGATAGTATTAAAATTTAATCAGGTCTTATACAATCAGGCCTTATACTATCAGGTCTTATACTATCAGGCCTTATCCTATGTGGTGTACCAAACATGCCCTCAGACTCATGGGATAGATTATCAGGAGACATTTGCTCCTGTTGCCAAACTTAACACTATCCGCGTTCTGCTATCTCTTGCCGCCAACCTTGATTGGCCATTGCAACAGTTAGATGTTAAGAATGCCTTCTTGAATGGTGATCTCCGTGAGGAAGTTTACATGGATCCACCTCCTGGTTTTGAAAAAGGGGATGGTTCTGTGTGCAAGTTGCAGAAGTCTCTCTATGGACTTAAACAATCTCCCAGAGAATGGTTTAGGAAATTTACTCAAGCTGTTAAGGGAAGAGGGTTCACCCAAGCTCAGACTGATCACACTTTATTTTTTAAACACTCCGACAAAGGAAGAATTGCTATTCTGATCGTTTATGTTGATGACATAATTGTCACTGGTAATGATAGCGAGGAGATAACCTCTTTAAAAAAATGTTTAGCTGACCAGTTTGAACTAAAAGATCTTGGATCTCTCAAATATTTCCTTGGCATGGAAATTGCTCGGAGTAAGGAAGGAATTTCTTTAACTCAGAAAAAATACATTCTAGACCTGTTGCAAGAAACAGGTATGCTTGGGTGCAAGCCGGCAGAGACTCCAATTGAAGCTAATATCAAGATGGGAGTTGAGGACGGGGAAGATGTTGATAGGGAGCAGTACCAGAGACTAGTGGGAAAATTAATCTATTTGTCTCACACTCGTCCTGATATTGCTTTTGCTGTGAGCATGGTTAGCCAATTCATGCATTCTCCTAAGGAAAAACACCTTAGTGCTGTTTATAGAATTCTCAAATACCTCAAAAATACCCCTGGTCGAGGAATTTTCTTTAAAAAGGGGCACAAAAGGATGATTGAAATCTATACAGATGCAGACTGGGCTGGCTCTGCAATGGACCGAAGATCTACTTCAGGATATTGTACTTATGTCTGGGGAAACCTTGTGACCTGGAGAAGTAAGAAACAAACTGTTGTTGCAAGAAGCAGTGCAGAAGCAGAATTTCGGGCTCTAGCCCATGGTATTTGTGAAGGAATTTGGTTACAAAGGCTTCTGGAGGAGCTGAAGATCTCTTATTCCCTACCTATCAGATTATATTGTGATAATAAGGCTGCTGTCAGCATTGCTCAAAATCCTGTTCATCATGACAGAACAAAACATGTGGAAGTTGATCGTCACTTTATCAAAGAGAAATTAGAAGACGGTAGTGTATGCTTGACATATATACCTACCAAGGAACAGACGGCGAATATCCTCACCAAAGGATTACTTAAGCCGACCTTTGAGAATTTGATCAGCAAGTTGGGAATGATCAATATATATCTCCCAACTTGAGGGGGAGTGTAGAATATGTAGAATATTCTAGATAGTATTTATTGATGTAGTTGGTAGTTGTATATTTAGTTGGTAGTTGTATATTTATTGATGTAGTTGGTGGTTGTATATTTATTAAAGTAGTTGAGGTAGTTGGATGTACTCAATATAAAAAGGACCCATTGGGTCTCTCAATGAATCAAGAAAGTATTATTCAGATAAAACACTTCTTCCACTTCTTCTTTTCTTCATAAACCTACATAACAAATCATTGGAGAAACGGTAAAAAAATACATATATAAAGCAGTAAAATCAATCTGTTATATTCAATGATCTAGTTGTAACTTGAAAACATGATGAAAACCTAAACTAAAATATTTAAATCAGTCAAAAGAAAAGACTACGGATGCTTATGTAAAACCATTTCCATTTTGTGTCGTCAAGGGTTTCTAATACGAATCTTGGGCGAACCTCATCCCAAAGTCCAGATAAACCCCACACTAGAACCTTATGTTTTCAATGTAAGCCTCCAAGTCCCATACCTTGCAATTGGATTATAAAATCCCACCACGCTTTGCAGCCATAGTGCTCGCGCGGGCTGGCTTGGGGCTAGTTTCTTACTAGCCTTGGCTAACACTGCAATGCCAGCGTCACCAGTCGCACCGCTCGTTTGCAGTTGGGAGACATAGTTGAAGCTCTTATGCCAATTGATACGAACCTTGGGAGAACCTCATCCCAAAAGCTAGCTTATAAGGTAGGAGAACCTAAAGTCCATATAAACCCCACACTAGAACCTTATGTTTCCGGTGTGGGACTTCAAGTCTTATACCTTGCAATTGAATTATAACAGTTTGCTTCCATGTGTCTGGGTCCAAAGCCTTGGCATGTTGCACCATATACATGTCTCATAAAGATATGCACAACTAAATGGATAACGATAATACATTGTGTAGAATATTTTCTTTAATTTTCCAATCCAACTTTTCTTAATCAAGTTGATTTGCTTAATATTCTCTCCTTTTTATTCCTTCCTTTTAACATGACTTGAGCAAACACTTTAGAAGGAGTTAAATGTAAAAGAATACGATTTGATTAGATATGATTGGATTCTGTCTTATCCGTAAATAGTCTGACTGTATTCTGACTGTATTAGGATTAGGTTTGGATTAGGTTTGGGCCTTACACTTAAGCCCATTAGGATCTCTATATATTGTAACTCCCTGACACAGATCAATACACAACGTATTCTTTTACATTTTACATGGTATCAGAGCCTCGCCGCCCCCCACTTTCTCTTGTGGACTTTCTTAGCACAGGTAGGCTGGGCCTGTTGCATCTTCCACTCTTCAAGCCCAATGGGCTCTCGTGTGAGGGGGCGTGTTGAGATATATAGTCCCACATTGGTTGTATGTGCAACTAATGTGGAGTTTATAAGGTCTTGGGCACTCCCACCCTTTGAGCTAGCTTTTGGGGTGGTGTATCCCAAGGTTCTTTACAGAAGGCAACAATTACCAATAACAAAAATTGGAAAAGGAATGCCATCAAACCCTTGATTTGTTTATATTATTCTCTTTCTCTCTCCTATTTATCCCTAGAAAGAGAAAAATGAAAATAGCTATGCCATTTGTATTTTGTAGAGCAGAACCATTAGAATTACAAGAAAATGGGCTAACCTTTTGATGAACCCTTTGATCTACGGGATTTTGTGCTAGGAAGATCCTATACCAACAAAATAAAAAAATACAACACAGTTAATTTAGAGTGGTTAAGATCATATCAACTAGAATCACACGATTCGCAATTTGAATCACATGATTCAATAGGATTTGACAAGCATTGATATGTATCATGTGATGAATCATAAATGGCTTTTGAATTGTGCGATACATGCATTAATTGGTGCGATTTCGTATCACTAATACGAATTGCACGATTTAACAATTCATTATTTTTTTTCTTTTTTGCTTTTCTGTCATCATTCTCATAAAATAAATTGAAAAGTTAAATAAGACTAAATTTTTAATTGAAAAGGAACTAAGGAATACTATTCAACGCGCCCTATTTGATTATTCCACTGCCCCATTTTCATTCTTCTGAAACAGGGACTTACAGAGTCCCTTGCTCACTCTATCTGATTTGGCTATATCATTTATCTGTTTTTTCTTCTTCTAAAACATAGGCATCATGTAGTCACTTTATGTTACTCAAGTACGACTTATAATTTTGTTTTGAGACTTATGGTTAAGTTGTTTACTCAATTCCTAGTTCCCGATTTAAAATTAATACATTGAGCATTATAGATCATTTATATGATATATTTCGAGATAATCTTACGATGACACGATTTATGATTCACAATTCAAAAATTAACATGGCGATTCACGATTTGAATTGTGGTTTGAAAACCTTGTTTAAGACAATTTTCTGCCTAGAAGAAGTAAGAAAGCTGAAGACCATGCTCATAACCTCATTATTAGCAACCCAAACAAAGAAGGTATAACTACCTGTTCAAGAGCTTGCTGAAGGATATTTTTCAAAGAACCACCATTATGCTTGAGTATCTGAAAGCCAAGGTATATAAGCACAGAGACAATCATGCCAAAGCCATTAGATTTACAAAAACACAGAAAGTATGTATATATCAAATGGTTACCAAATATCAACTTACCACCTCAAACTCAGAACGACATTTAATAGGATCTGCATAGGAGCTGCACAAGGAAACAAAGCATGTTATTACAAATTATTGTGCAAATTGTACAGAACATAAATGAGAAAAAGTACTGACTATGTATAGCTTCCATAGATCCTAACAAGGACTTCCCCTGGCGATCTTTTGCCAGGTTTAATGCTCTCATTAACACTATTGTCATCAACAACCTACAACAGAGCTAATTACTTTAAAGAAGGCAATTTAAGTATCAACTAATCATTAATCAACATCAAACAGTGTATCCTGCCTTTCATAAAGGTCATATAAACCAGCAAAGTATTAAAGTTCACATACCTGTGCAGGCCACCATGTGCCACTTCTAAGCCTGATAAAGATCACATCTCCGAATGCCACAGAATCATTACCAATTTGCTCTCCCCCTCCTTCACTAACATGACTCTTCCCACTCCCACTGGTAGAAGTACCCCTAGTCTTCATATTTCAACTTCACAAGCCAAGAAAACTCAAATGTCCCAAATTTGTTGTTTTCACTGTTATCCAAAATGATGTTAAAATAATTGAGAGGTGATAATCTGTGTTAGAGAAATTACTTTAATACTATTTTTAGTTCATGAAATACACACAAGAAATTGAAACATGCAATAACACATAATTAAAGCGTATCATACAAAAATATATAAATATAACAAGGAAAAATCCGAGCCCAATGTTAGACACTGTGTACTTAAGACAACTTTTCCCTCTCTATGGTGCCCAAGATTAGTGGATAAATGTCTCCCAGAATAGAACGGATTACCTTTATTCTTGTGGCGACACTTCCACGTTAAATAACCCCATTGAACTCAACTTATGTCTGACCAATCGCACTAGAGTAATAGAATGCAAATGCAAATAACTTACAAAAACTAATAGAGAAAAACATTTAAAAATTCTGATTCTTAACATAGGGTCACGATTGAAAAAACACCATTTTAAGGATAAAGCAACACATCCGTTAGGATGAAGCAACACAATCGTTCATCTTTTCAAATCAAACTCCTTATTCAAAAAAATAATTAATTTAAAAATTAATTCCAACATTCACCCCTAACTAAAGGAGCAATCCCACAAACATAACAACTTTTGTTATCAAATAGAACCAATTGCTCCCCCGTCTTCACCTGTGAAGTCAAAGATGCCAAACATAAACAAACACATCATAGCACACATCACATTAATCCGTTCTTCTTTAACCATAACCTTTGTCACCCTTACCAAACCAGAGGATCAAAGAACAAGAAATAATTAAAGTTTTTATTTATTTATTTTTATAAAAAAAAAAAAAAAAATCTTGAGAGTAAATAGAAGGGTTTCAAGTTTCTCCCTTTACCATTGACACATGCAGAGAAGAATCAAATAAACAGCTCATATCAACACCAAAGAAAAAGAAGGTGTTTTTTGTGTGTGTGTGTGTGTGTGTGTGTGTGTGTGACAGACAAGTGCAGTAAACAATTACAAAATGTGTAAGAAGAAAGAGGAAGAGATCGTACTAAGGCAGGAGCGAACAACTAGGAAGAACAAAGCGCATAAAATGTGTGAATAAATGAAAGAAAGAGACGATGCTATGAAAACGAGGCGCGATTTCGCAAGAGAGCCCAAGAGTCTTTGTTCAACTCTACGAGAATAAATGTTCCAAGAATCAGATTATGTGGCGCAATTACTATAAATTATAATGACGTTGTTGATGATCAAGGAAAGAAAATCTTAGTTTTACCACAAAAAGGGAATAAAAATAATCTGATTTGGGAAATAATAGTATTTAAGAAACTAAATAAATAATGTAGATAATTCATCTACATTAAATTTAAAATGACTTTATTTTGAGACAAAAATTAAGATATTTTTATAATTATAATTTATTTCAATGTTATAATAGTTTTTTCATTATAATTTTTTAATTTTTGCTCTCAAAACGATGTCATTTTAAGAGTGAACGTAAATATTAAAGTCATAAATAAATATGTAAAAGAAAAACTAAATAAACATTTTTGGGTATTTTTTACTTTATATTTAAATTATTTGGAGTAATTACTTTTTTCTCATACCAAATTTTATTATATCTCTAAAAAATATAAAATATATATTATTTTTTAAAATCATTTTCACAAAATATTTAGTAGTATTTTTTTCAGTTTTTTTATTCTTAAACACGTATAGTATTATGAGAAAATCGTTTATCATTTTAATGACATAATTTTGTATTATTTTAAATAAAATGACATCATTTTGATATATAATTGATATTTTTTATCTTTTTTATTTTATTTTCTCTCTCTTCCTAATTTTATGGAGAAGAGAAAATGTGAAAAATTATTAATTATATACCAAAATTATGTAATTTTATCTAAAATAACATAAAAGAGAAAATGATAAATATTTTCATTAGTATTATACTCGGTTAATGTTATTCTATTTTCACTTTTTTGTGACTGCAGATTAGTTTTATTTTTATACATAACAGACTAGGTAGTTTATTATGCGCATCATGGTTAGTTTATTAGTTGACCGCTTGGGTTTGCCCCTTTGTGGGCTCATTTTTTTTTGTTGATAAAATGCCAAGCCCAGAATCAACTAAATAGACAGACTTTGCAAGTTCAAACACATATGCTCCATTAACAAATTGGAGCTTAAATCTAACCAAGATGGTAAAATACTAACAGGGGGAGTGGAGTAAAACATCGACTCCTCCCCCTTAAGCTTAAAACCCTATTTTTGCTAATGAATCAGAACACACATTAAAATCTCTTGGGATAAATTCCAGCCGCAGCTGATCTATTTCCTGGGCAATTTTCCTGATCTTGCAAATAAGGGAAGAAAACCCACAGAACTCAGCATCCTCATTTAAGCAAAGTAGGGCCTCTTTGCTATCACATCCAATCCAAACCTCATTGAACCCTAAATCTCTTGCCATTCTGAGGCTACGATATAAGCCCAATAACTCAGCTTCCAACACTGTGCAGCTACCTATATTATAAGAAAATCCACCTATCCACTCTTGTGGGCTCATTTGTATTGGACTAATTATGATGAAAAATAACCCAACTTAAAAGCTCGTGTTTGGAATCATCCAAAACTCAAAGGAACGGTCACCATTTTGCCACACCTCACAAAAAAAATTTCGGGACTGCCACACCAACAGTAAATTTTGTCAAAATGTCACGCGGCATATTTCGCTACACTGTTCGGTACACAGTGTAGCGAAATATGCCATGTCAGGCTGCACAGTCAGCAAAAATGACATATGTCAAGCAGACAGAATTCAAGCATAATTTGCTACACAGTGTAGCGAATTTCTACCTGCTTGACACGTGTCATTTTTGCTGACTGTGCAGACTGACATGGCATATTTCGCTACACACTGTAGCGAATTATATGCAAACATATTTCACTACACAGTGTAGCGAAATATGTCGCGTGGCATTTTGGCAAAATTTACTGTTGGCGTGGTAGTCTGATAAATTTTTTTGCCAGGTGTGGCAAAATGGTCACTCTCCCAAACTCAAAAGTATAAGTGATTTGATTTAATTTTGAAAATTAAGAACATGATCAACTTAAATCAGTGTAAAAATAATAAGTTTTACAGTCAATCTTAACTGTTAATTTTTGTGTAGCAAACAATTGTAATTTATTGAGTTACATTATTAATTTATTATTGATTCCTAATAAATTACCATCGTCGAATATATGAAAAATAACTCTTAAAATTTAGTGTAAGATTTATTATTCTTATATCGGTGTAAGAAGACCCTACTCTAAAAATTATATTCAAATTGATTTCCATATAAAATTTCATGTCTAGATCACATTTAAATATCGATTGGAATTATTTTAAATTGATAATTTACTTTATTATTGTTAGTTTAATAAGTTTAATGACTTGCTTAATAAGGGTGAAAATGTCAATTTAGAAATTAAAACTAAAATCAAATTGAATTCACTTTTATTTATGGATTTTATATTTCTTAATGTTACATGATATGAGTCTTCTTATGCTATAGAAACAAAAGTCACGTGTGACTCATATATTAGAAAAAGTCATGTGTCAGACTCATGTCAACACAGAAATCGAAGGGTGTATAAGAAAATTTCTCTTCTCATATTACATGGGAAGTATAAAACCCTATATTTATAGAAAAATATGTTTCTCATATTGCATATTAAATAGATAAAACTTGCCATGCTTAAGTTTGTATTCCTCGTATAGCCTTAAGGTTATGCTTAAGTCCTTCTTGAAATCAATTCCATCTCTTTTCATTGATTTTAACATTGACTTAAGCATACGGTGGCAAGTTTGTATTCCTCTTACCTTGAAAGAGAGAAAACCTTTGGTACATCCATTATACCTATATATTTGCTAAATCAGAAAAGTCTGAGGAGGCGTTTGGTTGAGGATAAATTTTTTGAATACTAGTGAAATGTAATTGATAGGAAAATGATTGGAAAGTGAGTTTGGTAGAAAAATGTAAAAAAAGTTGTTTGGTTAGAAAAAAAATTTACCGGGCAAATTAGGTAAGATTTATAAAGTCTATGTTTGGTTTGAGGTAAAATATAGATGGAGAATTAACTTCAAGTTACAAATATAATCCCATAAAAAAGTGGAACCTTAGCACTTTAGATGAGGGTATTTAAGTCTACTAGTGAGTTGCTCTTTTGCCATTTAGCTAGCTAAATGTAAAATACCATCTTCAAGTTGTCTTTCTAAATAGTAATTTTGCCTTGCTTTCTATGAACAAATAAGATATGCTATGCAAATACAACACCTAGAGAAATTTTGTAAAACCTTCTACCAAACATTACTTTCTTACTTTGCCAATTTGATTTGCATAGGTAAATTTTAAGAAATCTTCAACCAAACACCACCTTAGGGATTTAGAGGGAAAAATAAAAATAAAAAACAAGAATTTAAATGGAAAAAAAATCATTTGGAAAAAAGATGTATCCAAATTCAAGAAATATCCCAAGGTAATTGGGTGGCATGCATACTGATTAGCCAGAGCAATGAATAATGGAATTCATTAACCGAAAAACAATGCAAAATTAATTATACAATGAAACTATAAAATTCAAGCCCAGTGTTTAAACTCTTAGTTTGTTTGACACATTTTTTTTTTTTAAGCTAAGAGCTACTTTTAAGCTAAAGTGTAAAAAAAAAATGTTTTTATTTGATGAGTATATAAATTTTTTAGCTTAAAAGCTATTCATTTCAAAAAAAAGTTGATACAACTTAAAAAAAGCTTCTCCTAGAAGGCTTTGGTTTTTGACTTTTTTTCTTTATTATAAAAAAAAAATCTCTTTATTTTAGGAGTTTTTGTAAAAATATATTTGACCTAGTTTCTACTTATAAGAAGAAAAGAAGCTAAAAGACATCCTAAATAGGCACTCTATGTGCTTAAGACAATTTCTTCTATCTATGACATTCAAACGGAAATGACAAATGACTCTTAAGATAGAATAAATAATCTTGATTTGTTGATAGCACTCTCAAACAAATAGCAGCTACGGACGCAATCTTCATCGGAACTATCTGTTGATATATCCTAATGCAGATACTAAAGCTGACGTGGATGCCAAAGCTAATGTGGAGTAAAGAAGCTGAGCTGTTAGATTTGCTGTTATAATTTGTAACTACTTTTGGCGCTCAAAGTTTGTTAGTAGTTAGAATTTGTTATTCTTTCCTTCAGCTTTCCACTGTCATATATAAGGTGGAAATGCTTTGATGTAAACTCAGATTTTGCAATACAATGAATTTCAAGAAAACTAAGACTATCTCACAAAATGAATATAGGATATATGCAAAGATTTCAAAGAACAATTTTGCAGAATTTCGATAAATGAGAGAAATCAGAGAAGTCGCCAATTTATTCTAATTTCCTTTCATATTTATAAAACATGATGACCATGAGAAATAATGTTGATTCGATGGTGAAAAATTATATTTGTTCAACAATGAATAATTATGTGAGTTCCACAGTGACAAAACATTTCTCTTCACTAGCTCAACTTCTTATCTAAAAAACTTCATTTCTCTTCGCTCTATCACTACGAAAAAGAAATACTGCAAATTTAATCAACATTCCAAGTCCAAGAACCCCACAGAGATGCTTATCGTTTCAATTAACACCGATTATCCACATCAGCTAAAAAGCTGATTCCTTGTGAGTTTATGCAAGAAATAAATTATCTAAATGCACCATTTAGACAAAAGGCAGCTTGATAAATCATTACTCAGACAAAATGGGTGGAAAATGCTTGGCAGGACAATTTTTTAAAAATTGTACAGCAAAACATTATTAAGCTGTTAGTTTGTCATGGATTCCAATATTAGACTCGTCGACGTTAGGGATGAAACTAGGTCGGGCTGGCCTACAGGAGCTTACGGCTCGACCTACGTCAGGCCAGACCTGATCTAGTATATTTCGTAAAATAGGTCAGGCTTGGGCCTTGAAAAAACCTGTTTAATAAAAAGGCCGTAGGTCCACTTTCACAAGGTCTGGCCTATAAGCCTACAGGCCGGCCTATATTGTACTATTTATTTTAAATAAAATAAAATAGAATAAGTATGCCTTGAAGAAAAAAACAAAAGATATTGTTATGGAATATTTCCATATCCTAACCACCTACCCAA